TTATAGACCTAAATTTTACAGATATTGGTAAAAAATAAGGGTTTCATGCATGTTTTAACAGGAATTTGTCGGAAAAAATTTTTGACCCTTAATTTAATTGGTTTATGTCCGGAAAAATTTTTCCGCCCCTTTTTTAAATGTCCGGAAAAAATTTTGCGGCAGGGCATCATCTGCTTTCGCAGGGCAATTCTAGCAGACACTCCACATTCTAATACTGGCAATCACGGGAAACGACAAAACGCAGACCCCAGGTCCGTGGACTACCTTAGTGGACCTGGTCCTTGGACTACACTTGTGGACCACTCTCACGGACCATTCTCGTGGACCACTCGTGAAACACCTGATTTTGGTGGTTTGCATGATTGAATTCTTGACTGTGCATGGGAAAATGTGCACGAGTCGAGTTCAGTCATTATCATCGTGGAAACTCTACACAAAATGTGAAGTTCTGAATCCATTCACTATACGAACTGTGAGTATATGACCGGCAGCCGGTCACGGTTTATCAAATACTAAATGGCCGGCAGTCTAGTGACTATACTTAAAGTTGAATTTTTATAAGATAAACCTATCCCCAACCCCAAACCCTTTTCTAACCCTAACCCCTAACCCTAACCTTTTGAGAGTTAGAAAAGTCGGAAAAAAAAGTTTAAAAAATTTTAAGAAAAAACAATGCTAAGTCAGACAAAACACATCCCGACCCCGACTGCGTTTAACTTTCCGCACACAGCGCCCTTGCCGTATGAGCTAACGGCAAGCTCGGTAGAAGTGAATGCAAACAAAAGTTTTTATATTCAACTATAGTCACTAGACTGCCGGCCATTTAGTATTTGATAAACCGTGACCGGCTGCCGGTCATATAGTCACTTTGTTCACTATATGACAGTTCTATAATATAAGCTGTACAATTACGTCTTTAATGCAAAGTTTCCGAATATATGCCCTTAAAGGTAGGTTACAGTCCCTTCTGCGCATGCGCGGGCATTGTTTACGTTTTTTGTTTTGATCCACATTAATTATATAAGATGAAGTATATGACGAGTTCAAAGTAACATTCCACATAATTTGTGACTGAGGAGTGCAATGTTTGACAACACTTCGCTGCATTTCTTGTACATTTCTACACTGGAAATTTTTGTACACAATAACACAATCTTATAATGTAACTTTTTAACTGTAAACATCGTGAATAAAGAGGCCGCTTTGAACCTTGTGTGACTTGCTATATCAACAGCTGGGGCGGCGAACCGAAATCCCGAAGGTGTGAGTTCGAATAATTTGTGTTTACCTTTGGAGTGTTTCATCATGAAAATATTTAATGCGGTATCAATCCCTCCAAACATGTTGCCAGTGTTGTTGTTGTCATTATGACAGAATCGCTTGGCCTTGGGGAAAGCTTTTCGCTTGACGAAATTCGAAACAAGTGTGATTGAGAATGTGGTTGCAGTTCTGTCTTCGTGGCAGAAAGCCAAGGCAAGGGCGAAATTTTTGACCGTGCAAAAGTTGGATAAACAGCTTTTGTTCAAGCTCGTGCACGCTATGGAAATGATTTCGTTATAAACAACAAAAGAGTTCAATAGATTGACAGTGACGAGAGTACGAGACGCTAAGATTATATTCAACTTTTTTGTGTTATAAGTAGTATGTATGTTTTGAAATTATGAACTGGAAGTATGAATTCATTGATATTACTCTCATATTGACACTAAATGATGATATTCTTGTGACACTGAATGATCTAATAGTAATATTAACTTAATTAAACAATTCTGGTCAATCTAGTGATCACGTTAGTTCATCATGTCTCTTCAAGACAGAGGACAATTGCTAGTATGCTTGTTTCGCTGTATATCAGAGCTCATCAGAATGCTCAGGAAACACTGATGAAATTTTTATTTACATCAACGAATCAGTCTTTCTTTTTCTTAACAGATTTATTGGGTTATATGATAATACAAATAATTTATAAACAGTTATTATTAAACACATATATCCAAGGGGATAGGCATGAATATGACTCAAGGGCTTGCATGTGCCCCCCTGAAAATACTGAATATACTAAATATAATTACAGTTTGTGACATGAATTCAGGTAAGCACCATTCACATAAGAACCTGTTTAAAGGCTAACTTGGAAAAAATCTAGGTTCTTATTATATGCAGGATTTTACTGTGTTGTCTGATTTCATGTCACAAAACAGGTCATGGGCATGGCAGCTTGTTCTGACAATATATATATATGGGATGGTGCCACTCTTTGTGACACAAGATCAGGCAATTATAGTACAATATGAACTGGCTTGTGTTTCAGATTGCTTTGTGTATGAGGCAATCCATCTAGGAGAAAGAAAGCTCGGATTTCAAACCCCCAGATCCCACCTTGGACAATACATGTAGTGACTACATGATCATTAGAGCTTGGAAATTAGGTTAAACTCTTAAAGAAAAGCGACTCATTTTTGGTATGTGAAGTATAATTTACATGCATATACATATACATATATATATATATATATATATATACATATACATATATATATATATATATATATATATATATATATATATATATATATATATATATATATATATATATATATATATATATATATATATATATATATATATATATATATATATATACATATATACATGTATATATAAATTGTGCACATATTATCTAACTAATAGCTATGTGTAAAGCTATACTGTAAAGCTGCTAACACTTTATTTATCTCAATGACATTTTCAGTGTTTTGGATAATTTTCATTACTTTGTGAAGAGTTTATTTTCTTTCATTTATATACATTTTTAGATTTGGTTTGTCTTCATGTGATAAAATAAGAACCTGAACTTGGTAGCCTAAACAAATTCTTATTTAGGGTGTCTAAATAAAAAAATTTAGCAGACAGGTTCTTATATGCAAGCTTTCAGTCACAATTAGGGTGAAAAAATATACTAGTAATTATTAATTGAGTTTTTTACATCATATAAGTTTCTGTGATCAAAATGTTTTATAAACTAAATGTCTTAGGCGGTATTTATATGGAGGCGAGCCAGCCCTGAGCTAATTTAATTTAATTTTTAAACGTCAATTTTTAAACCTTACACCAAAGTGTGTTTAGTTCATCGAACTACGAATCAAATTTTATATAAATCGCTGACTTTTTAACAACTATCAGCACCAAAAAATTCTTACTTTTGCTGAATTAACGTCGGCAAAAATTTGCCGGCCTGGGAGGTTGATAGGTTGGCATTTAGGTCGGCATTGCCGAATGCCGACCTCGTTTTCGAGGGCTGTAAGCTGCTTTAATTGATTAAAATATTCTTTGATCAGAGAAAGTTTTTATGTATTTCTATTAAGTGAGCACAAGTTGTCCATGATATGAGAAGACAGTCAAAGACAGTAACGCATGGTCGAGTAGATTAATTTATATCATTTATCACTCTGACAATAAACACTTTATAAACAGCCATCCAAAACATGTTGACTCCAAATTGCTCATTAACACTTTTTCATTGACAACTCCTACTCACGAGTATCATATCTTTAGGCCTTAATTATATGGGTTTCAGTTTGTAAATAAAAGAGATAGAACAGTTCGTATGTGACGATAGTGTATAATTAAAATAGTAAATAAAGAGAATTTTATAGTCATTAAAACCTCGATTGATGGGCTTCAACAAGCGATTTCACTGAAGTATCCACAGTGAAGGGAGTGAATAGCAGCTATGTTGGGTGAAATGTCCAATCCTTCTTGGATTCTTTTCTTCAAAACCTTTAGTAGAAGCTTGAGGATGTAGGTATATCATGGGGAAACGCAGACAGAAATGACACGCTCTCCATCGAGGAAAACAATAAAATATAATAGATACACTTTGATACACTTTGGAAGCATCCCTGCTAGCGTGGTATTCCTTCCTACTCGTCATGTTGCCTCAAAAACTCATTCTTTGAAGGATTGTCGCTCAAAAAAGCTCAATATATTTTGGAAACTTCTAGCTTCACTCCTTCGCTTGCGAAAAAAAACAACGCGCGTGTTATTGCCAGAAAGGAGACTGGACCGAGTATAAACCGAGATGCCCAACTTCCGGTGGAGTCCCCAGGCAAAAACAATCACAGACATGCGCAGAAGGGACTGTAACCTACCTTTAAAATTGGTAGTTTTTTTGTTTCCGGTCGCTGCAGAAAATACAAGAAAAGGAGTAAACGAGCTTCAGAAATAAATATTTTTGCCGATTATTTACCCTAGTGTACAAGCTCACTCACTTCCGGTTTTATTATTGACCAGTCAATAATTGTATTATTGTTGACCAGTAATCTATTCACCAATAATGCCATTGTATGCAATAAAGCGTTGGGTTGTAACTGAAGACAAAACCACAAGCATTGGACAAAAGTTTTGGATATAAACGTAATTGCCATAAAATGGAGGTCAGCGCCAGTCTGGAAAGTTAACTTTTTGCACGCCGGACATCGATTCAGGAACATGTAACTGTACGCCAATTTTGGAAATGTAAATGCGCAAAAGTTCCAAATACACCTTTTTAGTATAAACCTATTTGGTCGATATAAGTTGAATTTGAACAATTTACTAGTCTATGTAACAAATGTACGCCATTATGTACGCCAAAGTTTGTGTTTGTACACCGGACAAGTCCGGCGTACACACCTTACATTCCAGTCTGGGGTCAGCGGGGTGGGTGTCAGCAAATACCAAAAAAAAGGTCATCAACTTTAGGGTTAGGGGGTCAGAGGTTAGGGGCTAGAATTAGGGTTTGGTTAGGATTAACGTTTGGATTAATTATAGACCCATTACAACCCAATATTTTATTGCATACAATGGCATTACAAATATGCCAATAGATTATTGGTTACAACATGCGGAACGGCTGACCAGTCGCTCCCACGGACCAGCATGTGATACGATCTTGACCAATCGGCAAACAGGAAAGCTGAAATTTGACACTTGCTATATAATAATAATAAAACACTCACCTCCGTATAAATGAGATCCAGATGCTTCTCAATTAACTCCTCAAAATTTTCCCCAACCCAACTAAACACTGTAAATGTCATTGCAAGTCCAACATTTTCAGCAATTTCGGTCGTAATTTTTTCAACGATTATTTCTTTCAACTCCTTCGAAATATGTTTGTTATAAAAAGTATTTAAATTGATATGTGGTAAGCATTCTGGATACCTATCTGGCCACTGGACTTCCACTACAAAAGACTTGGTTTGGCCCAACTCCCCAAATCTGTACTGAAATGTAGTCTCGTTTAGTTCATTAAAAAGTTCGTCTTCTTCATATATGGCGCGCAGAACTTCAAGCTCTTCCTCTTGTGCCTTATTTTGAGCCATTTGTTAAGAATTAGGCCGCAAAATTTAGAAAAAAAAGAAAAAATATAACAATTTGTAATTTTGTATTGAAAGACCTCTGAACAGAGAGTGATTTGCAGAAAAAAAATAAAATCACATCACTCACACAGCTTACTGAGGCGCGACAATTATTAGCTTTATAATAGATAAATTTGTGTCGGTTTAATTTGTTTTATTAATTTAGCATTTTAGCCTTAGCACTTGGCCTTTATATGATCTTTTATTCTTCTACCATTCTTGTTTGGTGTTCGTCGTTTAACTTTAGCCTTCAAAAGTATATTTTTGAACCAATATTTGCATCCATGCTCGTGACCATTTGAAGGCCCCATGAAAATCTGAACGATGATATTTTAAGTGGCAATTTCGCTTATTTCGCAGTCCACAAAATTCCCAAGATGGCGTCCAGACATGTGGACGTAAATGAACGAAGATTACGGCCGGTTTACGGTAAGATCTGTTAAATTTATCATTTGTCTGTTCATGTTTTCCCGACATTTATATTTCTCCTATCTTTGTTGTACGTCAGATGCACTTGATAGCCTAAATAATAAAAAGGCTATTCAGCAAGCGGATAAAATTCTCAAGAAACAGAAGGATTTGCATTGTGCTAAGGTACAGTAAAGACTGGTTGATTTGTTCATAACTACAGAACTAACAGTACGTTACTGATTTTTGAACGGGAAATACATGTAATTATTGGAAGTCCTGTTCTCGCTTGTTATTGTAAACTGCTGATCTCAGACTCTATCAATATTAATCCCGGGGGGTAAGGGTGCGGGCAATGGGTGGGGATTTGACAAAAAAAATAAAAAATTGGGTCAAATGCCCACTGGTGGGGTATTCTAAGATAATCAAACGTTTCAAAACAGACGCACCCAGGGGATATAGATAGAGGCAAAATATTTTAATAACATTTAATATAAAGAGCCACAAAAAGCGTCTGGGCATCCCAAATTTTATCCCCAGAAACCAGACTATGTATTGTATTCAAATTCCAATAGGCCAGAAGACAGAAGCGAATGTGGAAATATTTCCGGACTTCCGGTTTTCTCGATTCTAGGCTCCAGGCCTCGTATTGAAATCGCTTGTTGAATTATCGAAGGGCAAATCGTTCGCACCCGGGCAAAAACTTTGACAAATGCCTGTCTGTGGGGATAGAATTCACAATTAAATCCCCACCCATTGCCTGCACCCTTACCCCCCGGGATTAGCATTGATAGGTGCACTAGCATGCTATTGAGGTGTAAACTGTCCGGCCTATAGAATCTGTAGTTACTAAAACATGCAACAAGCCACAACCAGTGGCGTAACGTTATATCAGGGGGCCGCCAGTTCAAAATTTTTGAAGGCCCCCCCCCCCCCCCCCCCCCCCCCCAGTTGAAATGCCATTTCCCCGACTTTGGGGTGAGATTTTACAGAATTCTGATGGTCAGAAAATGACATTGTGACATATCAGAGGCCCTGGCCAATGTTTTTGCTCTACAGCCTGAGCCTGGGGGCCCCCATTTGGCCCATTGGGGTTGGGGGCCCCTGTGTTCACCAGGTCCGAGCCCATAGTAGTTACGCCACTGGCCACAACGACCCCACAACAAGCCATAATGATCCACAACCAGCCACAACAACCACACAACGATTCACAACCAGCTGCAACGACCCTACAACAATCCAAAACCAGCCACAACGATCAACAGTGATCCACAACCAGCCACGACGACCCCACAACCAGCCACCATGACCCCACAATGATCCACAACAATTCAACAACAACCCGCAAGGAGACACAATGAAACAACAATATTGGATCCCACAACGAGACACAACAATCCCAAAACAACCCATGACAAGCCGCTGAACTGTATACTGCCATACCGGTATACCCAGTGCTCGAAACTTGAAATTTTTGTCAGTATCCAAGTGGATACCACCATGATAGAATCTAGTATCCATCCTTGAAATATAGTAACCAAGATTTGGATACTAGATATTCTATTTCCAGTATCTAAGCAAGGCAAAATTTTACCTTGCAACCAGGCCTTCAGTTGCTGAGCAAAAACCAGGCCTTTAGTTTCAATAATAAAAAATATGCATTGAAATTCGAGAAAATTGAAAATAACACACTGCGGAGATACGAAAGAAAGCACCGTTTGTGAAATTTTTTTTAAAATATTCTGCCAAAATCCGTAGACATTGACGTTTGGAAACATGCCAAACGTCTAGATTATTATCTACTATCGCAATTTCTAAGTTTTCCTAGTATCCAGTTGGGATACTGAGCTTATGATACCCAGTATCCAAAATTAAAATCTGATATCCTGTGGATATCGGGATACTGTGAGTTTCGAGCCCTGTATACCTAGACTGCGAGCGGTCCCTCCTTTCCGCAGGTTTAGATTTCCGGGCACAAGAAAGGAAAGGAGGGACTGCAGACAACACATCAAGAAATGAAATACGTGTTGCCCACACAATGCAAAATTCCCATTGGTCGAAGTTGATATGCCTGTCAATCAAATCTGATATGTAGTAATTATGCTATAAATAATTTCCAGAGTGAATGTTGATTTTATACAGGGTGTGTCAAAATAAAAGTAATCGAACGTCAGTGCGCTATTGTGTCTGAATTACTGCGTATGAACGAGATTTTTTCATCTTCGCAAAGATGAGGCTTTTAGCTGTTGAATGACATGTTCTTTATGCCAAATGGATACAAAATAAGCAAGTACGAGTCTGATAAAAATGCTAGTCAGAATCGCATATTTTCACCGTTGTAATATGCGATTCTGACTAACATTTTTATCGGACTCGTACTTGCTTATTATTTCTCCACTTGGCATAAAAAACATGTCATTCAACAGCTAAAAGCCTGATCTTTTCGAATATGAAAAAATGTTCATACGCCGAGTAATTCAGGTACAATAGCGCGCTGAAGTTCGATTACCTTTTTTTATACACCTTGTAAATAAACATGACAATAACGGTTTCTTATTGGATAGATTTAATTGGATATAGTAATGTTTATGCAAAGCAGAGCCAATTTGACAAGAGCTAAAAGTGGGCGTATTTCGTTTCTTGATGTGTTGTCGGCGGTCCCTCATTTCTTCGAGGGACTGCTCGCGGTCTACGGTATACCCAGCTGAACATGGCGGATTTTGAAGCCATTTTGGAATACTGGGGATACCAGTATGGCAGCATACAGTTCAGCTGTTTGTCATAGGTTATTTTGGGGTTGTTGTGGGATTGTTGTGTCTTGTTCTGGATTGTTGTGGGATCATTGTTGCCTCATTGTGGCACCTTGCGGGTTCTTGTTGGATTGTTGTGGATTGTTTTGGCTTGTTGTAGGGTTGTTGTGGCTTGTTGTGACTGATTGTGGATTGTTGTGGCTCGTTCCATGTTTTAGTAAATACGCTATAGAATCTTGTCTGCAGAGGAACCTGGCAACCCAGGTCCAAACATATTTTAGGATCTACATTTTTGTATAAATTGTGGTATCTAGTACTGTCACCTAATGTTGTCTCGTCAAAGCAAATTTTTTTACCAAAGTTTTACTTGTAAAGATAAAACATATCAGTCTCACTCTGGTCTGTGTGAACAGAATAGAACTGGAATGATACCTCCAACCGGAAATGCAGTGTTTTCAATAAGAGGCGGTTACCGGCGGTTTACCGCCGTCTATCAGTTTCGCCTTTGACAGCCGGTTATTTTTTCGTTTACTGTAATTTTCTAGTGACATTAGATTGAATTATTTTATTGAAAATAGTATAAAGCAAGTAACTAGGGATCAAAGGATAGTGTAAAGTTTCAAATTGAAAAAGACACGACACCAACTGTATAAGGTCGCCGACAACCTAGAACAGTAAGAGCAGGCATAGGCTAAAGCTGCCATATAGGCTAGAGTAGGCACGTTACTCAAAAATGTGGATTAGAACAACGTTTTTAAGGGATAAACAATTCCTTATCACTCCCTTCGTAACTCGTTTATTAAATGTTTAATTGCAAGAGCTCTTATTTGGGCATGACGACTTTCTATTTTGTAAAGTTGATGGCTTACACTACGAAATAAACAGTTACCATGATCCACTTGGAAAGCATACTCATGCATGTCTTTTCAAAAATGGACTTGAAGCCGTACTATTACCTACACTAATCCTATCCTATACAGATGAGTATTATATTAAAAGTTAATATTATCACTAAACTAAGAGCAACATATTATTACAAAAGTTTATAAGGTGGGGAGAAGAAAGAAGTCTAAATCAGTCTTAAATTTATAGCAGATTGCTTTTTACTGAAAACCTAAAAAAGGATTGAAATTTGGCTTTCACTTGAAATTTTTGAACGCAAACGCCTATTTTTGAAATGCAGCCTGCTATGATGATGATTATTGAAAACACTGAAATATGAAGTCCTATTCTTTTTACATATGCAAGCAAAGTACAGTCAGTTGGTGATGCAGGTGTAGAGAATATATTTCTCTTCCTGGTGGCAAAATTTAAAAATTACAATTTCCTGTGTAAGTCGACTATAAAACGTCTTGCATATGTAAATTTCAGAGAACATGTGGACTATGATGCCGCACATCTCGACTTGCAAATTGCTTAATTTGGAATTTTCAAACAATACGTAAATTGTTTTTGATGTTACTCAGAGTGTATGTCCACACCGGGCAGGCGAAAAGTTAGCCTGACCACGTTGGGAATCGATCCCACAGCCTTTGGGATACTAGTCCAATGCTCTGCATGCCATTCGGAACTAAGTCTAGTACCTTTCATACCAAATTTGTTCTATGATCCGATGTGGATATACACTCAGAGCAACATCAAAAACAATATATTCACCTAAGTACATAGAGAATAATACATGGGTGCGCGGAAATACCAGAGTGAGATATCATCTTCAACACGAGAAATAAATCTGGTATTTCCAAGCACCCATGTATTTTTCTGGTTATAATATAAAGGACTCAAGTCTTTGAAAAGCGATAATTTTTACAGAAAAGCGATAATTGAAAAGCGATTTTCACATGTGAAATTATCATAAATAATCACATGTGAGATTGTCAGTGCTCGAAATCTCTATAAAGCACTTTACTTTATATAATAAATGGCATTCCTGTATGTTAGATGGCAAAAATTTCCTGCAAGGTGCAAGAAAATTCCCTAGCAGGGGTGCTGCACTGTGGCGATACATGAATATGTTCTTGAAAGCTGGCGTAAAATTTACCAAAAGACGCTTTTTAACTGTGCTCAAGGCTTTTAAATAATGTGTTTATTTAGGTAACATATCCGAGTGGATTTTATTTTTATTGTTTCTAATAATTGGTCGTGATTAAAGTGCGCTGAGGAGTGAGTGGTTCATCATAAATACATTATGTATTTTAATATAATATAAATTCTGAAATATGAAGTACAAATGATTTTCTAAAAGTCCAACATGTCACAATACTAGTCTAACTGTACAGCATTTTACATTTGTGACACAATAACATGCATCTCCATCACTCCATGTCCATAGAGGGTACATCCCTTCCATATTCTATCCTCCAATTTTCCAAATTCCAGTGGTTATTCTTAAACCGCGTTACCTTCTAGTGTAACAAATCAATGGCTTTTAAGAGACTAAGAGCCTAACAACCCCAAGGAGTGCAATTCATTGCACCCACACCCTTTCCTTTCCTTTTTGTGAAATCAGAATTGTGCTTTTAGGGACCGGTCATAAAGTAAAGCTGGGAAAATCATATATTTTGGTGTCTGCAGTTTTGGTAGCCCACCCCTTAATAGGTGCACGAAAATGTGTAGCCCACCCTTAAATTGGTGCTGAAAAATTATGACCCACCCCTTTTCCAATTCCCCCCCCCCCGTCGATAACTTTTTTAGGTAAAAATTTTTTCCGGTACTTAGCCCAAAAAACAGATATCTTGTTCTTTGCGCGGAAATTTTTAACGCAAAAAAATGACTGGGGCTCAATCTTCTGCATATTTTTACATGGCCCACCCTTATGATTGCGCTTAACTTTCGATCACCCACCCCTTCAACCGTGCTCAAAAATAGTGCCCCACCCCCCTATTTTTCCCAGCCCACCCCCCCTTTTACTTTATGACCGGTCCCTTATTAATGTTGAACAGATATAGAATGGTCTGTGCTAGTGTAGGATTTCAGGAGGGTATTGTAGATGGCAATTTCTAGTGTAAATTTTATATATGTATTAGACCTAACTATGTGATTCTGGTGCAGCATTCTAACCAACTGAACTACAGAGGCCAGTTGTCAAGCTCCAACTGTGAAAAATTACAAATAGATTTTATTGAACAGTTTTCGCACGATTTCCTACAATACACCATCCTATAACTAGTTTCATAACCTACTTTAGCGGGTTTGGGCCCGCCACGTACGGTCTGCTTACTTTCGCTAGCAATTCGCCTTCCCATTGTATTCCATTAGCCAATAGCATTCAAATACACAAGACAATGCCCACTTTGAATGTCAACTGTAAAGTGTAAACAAGGAGCGTGCGATAATCGAATAATAATACGGTATATACGTATTTAAATGGCCATAATGTGAACAGATCGAGTTTTCTGATCAATAGCAGTCGAAGTAGAAAATATTGAATATTTTTCCAACGAACATAGGCGTCCCGGGCGGGGGGCGGTAGCCCCCCCCCAGTTTTTTGGGCAGTCGGGCAATATTCGATCAACAGTCGGGCAATTTTGGCTTGCAATAAAAAAAATAGGTACGCTAAGCGTACATGTATCTGTTCATGTTGATTGCACTGTTGTCAAAGGCTTCAATCAACACTCAGTAGCTTGTAAAAAATTTTAAGGGACTGATGTTTAACAGTTGACCAGTTAAATAAAGTTAGATTTATAGTATGTCAGATGAAAGAAAAATAAAATGGCTGATGTATATTCCACTTGCAGAAACTAATTCCGGCCATATTTTAAACTTCACAAAGATGATATTCAATTTTATGATGTTCTTCTTGAATCATCTTAGTTTTATAATTTTCTTGCAGGGATGGATCCAGCAAAATCTGATAGGGGGGGGGGGGGTTGCTCTGCCCGCTCTGGTGCCGAGTTGTGTCGGTCATGTGTGCTGTCCGCCCATCAACTTGCTTCGCTAGTGGGTCATTCCATATCAACTCAACAAGGGCATGACACCCACTCATCTCAGATTTTAACCAAAATTGCACCAACTGGAGGTATTAGTGAGATATGAAAGCACACCAAATTTTATCCCAATATCTTTATTTTTGCCTGAGATATTGGCATTTCAAGTTTTGCACCAAAACCGGTTTCGGTTACAGTAATTTAGCGTTTTGTATTAATGGTACACAAAAATGCATGGTATTTAGACTGTCGTTCTTTGTCGTTTAACCCTATGGGCAGGAAAACTGGTGATCTACCATTTTAAGACATGGGGAATTAGAATATGATGTCAAAAGTACCATC